AGAGAGAGAGAGAGAGAGAGAGAGAGAGAGAGAGAGAGAGAAATTTATTTTAAAATATTTATTTTAAGTATTATTTATTTTAAAATATTTAATTGCAAAGAAAGATTTATTTTCAATACTTTTTACTAAAATCATTGTTAAAAATTAGATATATATTTCTGAAGCAAAAAATATATTGAATAATAGAAAGTAATCAGAAGTTATAAAAAAAAGTTACCTCACTTTTCTATTTTAGATATAACTTTATCTAAATAGACATATTTTAATATACTGTAAAATTATAGGATTAATTAAATATTGCTTGCGGATAGTTATGCAGTTCGAAATTGCATACATTATTGCCACAAATAAATTTGATGATATAATAAGTAACAATAAATCAAAATATTTTTTATCACTTTCGATATTGCTATTATTACTATTATATTTTATTATATAGCTTCTCATTAAATTTCACATTGAAGTTATTTTAGCTCATATATGTGAAGTCCTTTCAAATATGACAGCTTATATTTTCTAATTCCTCAACTCAGTTTGTACTAAACTTAATAATTTCTTACTCTAAACAAATATGGAAATCTGTGGTAATGTCTCGTCCTATGTGATCGCTTAATGTGAAGCCATAGTAGTCAAGGCATTAATAAATTGCAGTATTTAAATTATCATCTTCTAACATTATTTTTTCTGTTTTATAGTGGAAAAAAACAGAAAACCTGAAGAAGATCTTGGTTTATTGACAGATGGAGAAAGTGGTAAGTCTTTTTTTTTTCTCTTCACAATTTTTTCTTCTTTACTAATCAATTTTAATAAACATAATGACATCTTGATATGAACTAGATAAATAATCTCTAACTTTTTAAAACTTTTTAACTAACAAGGGAATTGTACGTACCTGATGTCACGGATTTTGATAAAATTTTTTTGGGTTATTCTACAACATTAATGTACATTCTGTGCAAAAGAATTTTTGTCAATATCTCTTCGTTTCGGAGAAAAAAAGAAATAGTTTACGAGCGCCTTATAGGCCAAATATGTGACGAAAATCTCAAGCGCTTCAGTGGCCGCGGTGGTTAAGGTGCGGTGTGTTATCTTTTTGGCTTGGATTCAATCCCCGGGCCATCCAATTTTTTTTTCGTTTTATTGTTGTTTTTTTCATCCAAAATGTAGGACAAGGACACAATAAACATAAAAGTACGAGAAAGGAATATATTAAACATGATTATAAATGACAAAACATTAAGAAATATGTTGTATGAAATTATGTTAATATTAAAATTATGTTAATTTTCATGTTTTACTCATATTTGACGCTGTTTTTTCCATTGTCAGAAATTTCATATAGTGTTTGTTTTACTTTATAAATTTTTAACGTAAATTCCAAAGGAAAGGAACAGAATGATCTAAGGTTTTAACCCTTGGTATACACACTAAGGTCTCCGAAACCCCAAACAAAGTTTGAAACTCTTTTTTTTTTATTTAGAAAAGAGAAAATCCATCATGGACACCCCCGACGGGCGCCCTCCCGTCCTAGTGACGGGGCCAGGGAATAGTGCCGGACTCCTAGCGGCTAAAAACTCTCTTCCCTCACTCCTCTGCCATAGTGGGAGCACGGCTGGAATCGTCTAGAGGCATATCATCGGCCGTGCCCCTCGGCATTGGTCGTGGGCCCCCCATTCCCTCACCCAATCCCCGATGCGCCCGGAAACGCGCGCCGCACCTCAGTCAGCTCGCCGCCGCACAGTGGGCGCAAAAGCATCTTTGGTGGACAAAATTCGGCCAACGCTCCATTTTTTAACCGATTAAGTTTATTTTTTTAATTTGTTGAAAATTGAATAAGCTATAAGACTGTTCTGCGTAAATCTTGCTTACGATCCAAATTAAAAATGGCCGGTCCAAAGAAGTAAATATAAAATAACAAAACTGTACGATTGTGAATTAATTCGTAACAAAACGTATATATATTTACACAAAACTGTTATTATATATTTTTGTATATATTATACGTCGAAAATAACTTATCTGCAATGTGAAAATAAGTTATTTGCAATGTGAAAAAAAAATGGCAAACTTAAGATGGAAAAGAACTTTACGAATAGCCGGATTGTCATGAAAAACTTGGTTTAATAGATTCTCAGGGTCGCTGATTATGAATCTGAGATAAAAATTTAATGACAAAATTTAAGAAGGCGAATCTAATATGAAGAATGACTAAGAAAAGAAAAAGTTATTTTATTTGAAAAAGTGATTGTAACAGGTTTTCGTAATTATTAATTACGAATATAAAGGTAAAATTTTCTAAATTCAACTTCCAAAACAATTTAAAGTGTCTGGAAAACTAGCTATAATGTAAAGAGTTAAGGTTGCTGAATGTGGAATGTTAAAACTCAAACATATCTGAATTATAAAAAAGTGTAAAATTGCCACAGGAAATTTTCAATGTTCGTTCTAAGGTTGTAATGTTCCCTAAAATAAGGGAAGTTCTTTTAGGTTATTCCATCAGAAAGTATAGATGTTTATTCTACAAAGATTAACTTTTGTTTTATTACTTCGTAATAGAAAAGCGTAAGTACTTTATATCATGAATAAACTATTTTATCAATGTCACATCATCATTGAAGAAAAAGATTTTTTTAAGTTTTATATATATACTTTATATACTACATTATATGTACTACATATATATATATATACAGGGTGTTCAAAAAGTCCCGGACCGGTGAAATATCTCGAAAACTAAGCATTTTAGAAAAAAATGTTTCAGATAAAAGTTGTGGCGTTTAAAAAGATGTATTTACTGATCACATCAGTTTGACCTT